GTGTGTGTGTGTGTGTGTGTGTGTGTGTGAGAGAGAGAGAGAGAGAGAGAGAGAGAGAGAGAGAGAGAGAGAGAGAGAGAGAGAGAGAGAGGTTTCAAAGGTGTTGTTTCTGAAAGCTCTGCCAGTGAGCATGTGGTCCATCTATATTGCAGGCAAGACTAGCCTGGTCTTGATATGTCATCAGGTTCATCTTCGCACTTGGTAGTGCCACCTGCACATCACTGCGGCGTGGCGTTTCAGCAGATAAAGACTGCAATATTTTTTATCTCACACAAAAAGATTTTTTTTTTTTTTCCCTCACACAAAACGAAACTTTTATTTCACACACAAGAACATCAGTTTTTCTTTGCTGGAATATTTCAGGATGCACTTATGGTTTTTTTTTTTTTTTGTTTTTTTTTTGTTTTTTTTTTTTTGTGTGTGTGTGTGTGTCAAACGTTGTCTCCACAAGGCGCCTTTTTGCGATATTCTTTATTATTCTAATATTCTGTCCATTTTTTTATTATTATTATTTTTTATCTACAAGCAAAAAAAGCCAGCAAAAAGATTGTTGCCGTATGCGTTTTTTGGGTGCTTGTGCTGATCTTTTTTTCGGGTGTCAGACTTCGTCTGGCTTTATGGTGAAAAGTTGAAAACTATATACAAGCTTCTGCTGATCTTTTTTTTTTTTTTTTTCCCTTTCTTTTGCATTAATTCATACGAGTGACCTTTTTTTTTTCGCTCTTTGACTTTGACAAGGCACCTTTGATGTGTGCATCCTAAAGCTGTGCTAAGCTCCATAGTGAAAAGTTGAAAACTACAGACAAGCCACCTTGGATGTGCTATAGGCTATAGCTCATAGCACAAAAATGTGCCCTTTGTCTGGCTTCATAGTGAAAAACTATAGACGAGCAACCTTTGATGTGCTATATGCTATAGCACATAGCCCATAGCACAAAAATGTTTCCTTTGTCTGGCTTCATAGTGAAAACTCTAGACAAGCCACCTTGGATGTGCTATAGCCCATAGCACAAATATGTGCCCTTTGTCTGGCTTCATAGTGAAAACTATGGACGAGCGACCTTTGATGTGCTATAGCCTATAGCACAGCCATGCCCTTTGTCTGGCTTCATGGTGGAAGCTATAGACAATCCACCTTTGATGTGCTATAGCCCCAGAGCAGAAAAATGTGCCCTTTGTCTGGCTTCATAGTGAAAACTATAGACACAAGCGACCTTTGATGTGCTATAGCCTATAGCACAGCCATGCGCTTTGTCTGGCTTCATGGTGGAAACTATAGATAAGCCACCTTGGATGTGCTATAGCTTCCCTTTGTCTGGCTTCATGGTGAAAACGAGGCCACCTTTGATGTGCTATGGCTTATAGCACATCCGTGCTCTTTGTCCGGGTTCATGGTGAAAACTATAGACAAGCCACCTTTGGTGTGCTCTTATAGCCCTATAGCATAATAGCACAGCCATGCCCTTTGTCCGNTGCCCTTTGTCCGGGTTCATGGTGAAAACTATAGACAAGCCACCTTTGGTGTGCTCTTATAGCCCTATAGCATAATAGCACAGCCATGCCCTTTGACTGGTTTCATGGTGAAAACCATAGACAAGCCACCTTTGCTGTGCTATAACCTATAGTGCAGCCGTGCCCTTTGTCTGGGTTCATGGTGAAAACTATAGACAAGCCACCTTTGATGTGCTATTATAGCCCTATAGCACAACTACAACGAAGTGGATGCAACCCAATGATTGCCTCTCCCTACCGTAATAACCGATGGTTTTGAGCGCTCATCCGTGCCCGAGGAAAGTCCGAGCATCGTGATGATGATGATGATGATGATGATGATGATGATGATGATGATGATGATGATGGCCAATCGATCATTATGATGTGTGTGTGTATGCAGCTAATGCTCAAGCTGAGCTGGTTAAGAGTGGAACCGAGTACACACGGAATTATAGGTACGTTATCTCTCAAAACTTGCTCCTTTTTTTGCACTTTCCTTCAGAATTTCATGAGCAAAAAAAAAGAGAGCGATTCTGTCAGCCTGTTATGTTGGTAATAATATAATTAATTTAAAATTTAAAATTTAAAATTAAAATTAATCTGGAATATGTACTACATGATTACGATATTGGTCTGGATTCTGGAATGTTGCTACTGGACAACAAAATTGAACAAATTAATTTAAAATTTTAAAATGTAAATTAATAATATTCAATATTGTTTTGTAATAAACTGACAAAAAAAAGTGAAAGAATATCGTATGAAATACATTTGATTTATTTATAAGTTATGCAATGACCTGGACAATTGCAGTGTGACAATTTTCTGCACTTTCTGAGAAGACGCTGTGCTTCTGATCCGATTGCTAAGATGTCTGAGATGTTCTGAATCTGATTGCCGTGTTTTCTTCTAACAATGTACTATGTACTCTGTACTATCATACTACCGTGCTTTCTTCTAAGAAACGTACTATGTACTATGTACTATGTACTATGTACTATCTTCTAAGAAATGTACTATGTACTATGTACTATCTTCTAAGAAATGTACTATGTACTATGTACTATCTTCTA